GCCTTTGTGAATGTCCTCGATTATTTCTCCTCTCACCCTGCTTTCATGTCTCTCACAACTCCTTTTTCCTTCCTCCAAAGCTTTCTTTGGCTCCATGTCTGGCCTGTGATGGCCCAAGGCAGGTTCTTCCCAACTCAATCTGCTGCGTAGCTTCTTCCAAAGCCCTGACCCTTCTCCACTGGGCATGCACTCCAACCCTCTCAATGCCTTCTCCTCTAACTCCAGTCTAATTCAAAATGAGTTCAAAAACCTCAATGAACACGCCTATGTATATGACCACTAATTCTAATAAACTAATAATTAAAATATTACACTAGAAATCATTACGTGGGAGTGGGGTATCAACCAAAGACCACCATCCTCAAAATATTTCTGTTTACAGGAGTTAGCAAAATGTATTGCAATGTTAGCAAAAATAAATTAAGCAACATAAGATTGGAATCTAGAGGAGCCTTAAAGAGACTAGAGGAAACTAGAGAGAGGAAGTGAGAGATTAGGTCACTTAGATGAATGTCGACTGCAAATGGATCTTAATGGCTACAGTTTAAAAACAAGGTCACACGGCTACGCACAAGACATTGGTCTGCATTGGCCGCGCAACCTTAGCATCTAAAATTATTTTTGAACTGCATCATTATATCAGCAAACGATAAAGAAGCCAATCACTGTTGTAGCTCAGTAGTGATAAGAATAATAATAATAATAATAATAATAATAATAATAATAAGCACATAAAAATCAAACCACAAACTCTTACACCAAACTTTGATCCATCAATACCATGAACTATAAACACCTCTGGGAGCTGCTTTCTATGTAAATACAACGTCTTTCTAATGGTTAGTACTGCAATCTTTTGTTAGCACACCAAAGAGCTACCGTTAGGATGAAAGCAACGCACAAAACAGTGGAGATTGGCGAGGGCTCCTTGTGTGGCTCGCAGTGCTGCACTGAGGCTTTTTAAATACAACAGAGTGACCCACTTGTTTTGTCTGGTTTGGAGTTAATAGCGAGGGCTTGTGGGATGTTTGTGAATATGCAACAAAAGGCTGCCACAGTTCACTCTGTGTGTGTGCTCTGAGGGCTTTTCTTTGAAGACGCCGTCTTGGAAGGGTTTTTAGATTTGTAAGGACACAACAGTGAATGTTTTCTCTATAGAAATATTACAAACAGTTTTTATTTTCTTTTTGTGTCCAGAAGTTTGAATTGAGGAAACAGTCAATCAAAAAGGAGAGGTAGGGCACCCCAGGTCGTCAGAACATCGTTGGCTTTTGCATTGTCTGTGTTTTTCCTATCTGCAGTAAAAACCTGCTTCTTCTGTGATACTCTAAGTCTTGTGATCTGACTTGGTGAGAAATAAATATATTAGTCACTTTAAACATATTCAAATTCGTTTAGCTATGTGTGTTGACAATACACAGAACAGCAAAGTCAAAGTGGGGAAAAGATTGATTTTAGTCCTCTCATGCACATACAACTTAAACTTGTGTACAAAAAGCTTGTTATTTTACTGGCCCTGTAATCATGAAAAGTAAAGACAGAGAAAGCGGTGAAGGCTATCCCCTGAATTAGCTAAAGCTTAGTTATATGACTTGACTTCAGTCTGAACCTTTAGCTTTATGAAAAGCTAAGTTAACCTAAGACAGCTAAAAGTGGGGCCAGAAGAAAACCTTATAGCAGTGGCAGTGTTACGTGGTTAAAACAGAATCAGCCTTATTTATTTGGACACTTATGTTCTGGTGCTAAAGGTTGACTAGTGGAAATTAAAGGTTTCTCCCTGGCTGTTTTTAACTTGTCAGTCCAAAAGGATCTGACTGCGAAGGCGATAAGATAAGCATTCAGGCCTCAGGGGGCACCAGAGGGTCCTCCAATGCAGCTTCGATCAAAGCTGTAAATGAGCAAATAATTGATGGAGGTGTTTCTGAAGGAGAAGAAGAAGCTAGAAAAGGGAGGTTCAAGATGCTTTTCTTCCTGCCACACTACTCAAACACAAACTATGACATAAAATCCCATGTTTTGTGGTTACAGATAATGAGATATTTTTTTAAACAAAGGGCAGCAAAAAACACTTTTGTTGTCATGCTGATTCTGAAATTCTTCTTCGTCAACTTCTTTGCAGACAACCATGTCATTTATATGAAATACAGTTTCCTGTTAATTCCCTAAAACCTGACAAAAGCTGAAATTGCAGCTGAAAAAAACCCAAACTTTAAAAGCACTGACACTGCCCGCACCACTTCCCTCGCTGTCAGATAGAAGCCAGTACATAGCGAAACATAAAAATAAATAACACAACAGATGATCTGTCTTCAGGTTAAGTCAGACATAAATGGCTACCATTTAGCATGGGTATATATGTGATTAGTTAATCCAAAATAATAAACTAAAAAGCAATTAGATTTAGGTCTGGTTTATTTAAACTATAAAAAGTGTAATACAGTAAAAGTCAGCTTTAAAAAAGAAATCCAGAAATCAACTCTCTCTCTGCATTTTATAAGAAAAAAAGTAGTTCAGAAGAAGTAAACAAAGATTACTATCGACCTTGTCATTTTCTTCATTACCTTAGCTGCCATGTTAACCAAACATTTGCAATTTCACCTGTCATTTTGCATTTTTATTTTCCTGCCTCCAGTTTCTCATCTCTTTTAGCTATTTACATTTCATTAAACAGAAATACTCCGTAGATTGTTTGCTTCATAATGACAAAAATGTATTGGATTTTATTTTTCCTTCCTCTAGTTGAAGTTTTTCCCTTAGGCTACAGCTATACATCGGTCATAATTTGATGTCTTTTCAAAGCTAATTTGTATTGCAGAAATGGATTTTACTTGGTATTTAGGAGAAGCACGACATGTAGGAATGGCACTCACGAACTTCTCGCTGCAGGGCAGCAAACAAATGATTTTATTGTTAATTAAAAACAACTTTCTTTTGCTCTTGTTTTTTTTGTCTCAACTTTCGTGTCCTATTTGCCTGACACTTTTTGGTGCTCTTGTCCACGTGACTCTAGTTTTCTCGGTCAAAATCCAAAGTCAAAAGCTTCTAATACATGAATAATGCACAAGTGCAACAACATAAAGAGTGATTCCTGTTGTATTTTTTGTGTGTCTTTTTACAGGAGAAAAAGAGCACTAAAAGTAAGCCATGATCCAAATTGTTTTGCTTTTTTTTTTGGCAAAGGCATGCTTCGCTTGGTTTGCTCTCACCATCGCCTCTGCTTAATTTTGGTTTTCCCATAATCCACATAAGGTCCAAAAAAATTACAGCCAACAAGTAAATTTCCATAAGATCAGCCTAGTATCAGTTTAAAATCAAAACATTGAGCAAATTTAAGCAAATTTTGCCAGTAGTAGAGTAATTAAAAATTGATTTGTTTTAAAAAATACAGATCAGGTCTGACAAACTAAAAAATGTCTTTCTCAATTTGTACAAAATAAAAGGGGTATGAGTAACGGGGGTGTTAGAGAAGTAGTTGAGTGTAATCAAGATGTGAATAGAATACAGTGTTAAAGTGGGCAGTCAGAGTGACAGATGGGTTCAGGGTAGGATGGAAATTCAACGATCAGCTCTGAGCTTCCGTCTTTTATGCAGGAACTCTGTGGTAAAACTATAGTGGCCCATATTGGCATTAGTCAGCATAGGATACATCCAACGACCAGATAGGTCATTTCTTAAGCGGGAAATTATCATCTTATAATTTAATTCCAAGGCCCTTCTGAGTCTCCATTTCCAGCACCGTATTCCTGGATACAAGGTCTTTCTAATACCTGTTGTTTTTGCTGCAGCACTGCAAGTACACAATTTCCTTTGCACAACAATACAGTGGAAGTATTTAATCTGAGGCCAGTGCCCAGGAAGGAAATTGGTTAAGACCCTTATTATTGGATTAAAAAGGATATAACAAGGCTTGAGCCCCACAAAGCTATTAAGCTACTTAGATGAGGATATGATTGCAGCCTGTCAGTCACAAAGATGAGGAAATGCTGTTGTTTTTCCTATTTTTGTGTTGCAACCATCTCACAAACCTACTCTTGTTCCTGTATTTTTTTTTTTTTTACTAAAACCCAGGCTGACCACCCTCCGATTGCCTTCATCACTGCCTCGCCCCCCCTCTACTCCGTACAAATTATTCTTTTCAAGCATGACATTGTTTACACCACGGTTTCCTTTAGTTTGAGGCTGTTGTCCTAACGTGTGGTTGTTGCTTCCTGTGGTTGTTACTGTCATGTACCTTGTACCATTAGGAGACTTATTTGAAGTTCTAACTTTGAAAATATCATAATTCAAATCATATTATGAGGAAAATATACATTTGAAAAAAAAAACTTCTTTAAATATATTTTTTGAATAAATTACATTAGGGTGTAATAGAAAAAAAGTACTAATCCTTAATCTCAGCAACAGCAATTTAAGATATTTTGGATTATTAAAAAAAAATTAGATTACTATTAAAATTCATAATTTCACATTATTAAAATCAATGAATAGTAAATAAGTTGCATTTTTAAAGAAAACAATACTGACATTAGAATCGGCTTGGACTCTGAAGATGTTTCACTCATCCTTCTTCAGTTCTAGACAGAAGAACCCTCTTTGATGAGAGGTGAAATGTCTTTAAAAAAAAAACCTACTCCATCCAGTTGCCATCGATGTAACTATTTTTGGATTAAATGACTGAGAATCTACACAGACAACTCTTTACATATTCTTAATCCCTTCCACAGGACTGGTTTCTACATGAAAACATGCTCATGTATTCCATTTCCTTGTTGTAACCTTGCGTTAACTTTAGGTCCAGTAGTTGTCTGACATAGAAGTAGCAAATGTAGATTCACACAGTTATTGCAGGAATTCATTCCATTCACATTATTTCAGGCAAGAACACAGCAATCACCATAACATGAGGATTCAAGAAAGCGTCAGTTTATTTCTATAATATCCCACTTCAGTGAAATAAACAATATCCCTTATGTTGTCCTTTCCTTTTTTTTTTCTTGCAGACACCCGGCCCCTGCCTGACGTAGCCATGACTGGCAAATGTACCCGGGAATGTGACGAGTACGGCCACTCCGACTCCTGCTGGATGCCTGTGCGCACATCTCCTGAGCGGCGACCTTCCAAGTCCACCACCACCCCCCAACAACCAAAGCTTTCAACTTTCATGAGCGGTAATGGCAGTGGCGGCAGCAGCAGTAGCAGCGGCCTCATCGAACACCCCAGCAGCCAGGAGACCCTTGCAATGGCCGCCATGGCCAACGGAGACCCCACTGCAGCTTACAACACTTTGGGCGACCGAAATCGCAACCTGCTCAACAAGAAAATGGCCTCCTCCTCCTCCTCTTACGAAGCCTTTGGCTCGCCTTCCTATGGCTCGCCGGGGGGCGCAGAGGAGGTTCTGCACCACCCCACTGAGGAGATCCCCCTTGCAACGACCGGGGAGTACAAACCCACAACCTGTGGCACTCTAACGCGGCGGGAGGTTTATCTGTGAGCTGCATGGAGAGGGTTAGACACACCTGCTGTGCCAACCATGTATGTAACACTGAGCGTAGCTGCTTGGCCACCGCCATTACAGCTCTTGAGGCTTTTAGACTACTTGTTCTGCGTGTGGTAGGGTTGAACTTTCTCCAAAGACTTTTCCAACAGCTCCTTAATAGAAAATACCCCAATAAATGGAACAAAACCATTGAGCACCACTTAAAACATGACCTGGAATAAATGTTGAAGGAAGGAGGGAAACTGCTGTAGGTACTCCCTGGACTAGGGATAAGGCGTGCCAGGCTCTTGGGACTCAATGCATTGCCTGACCCTTGATCTGTACAGAAATCTACTCATTTTACATATTCAGTACGTGCATGCATTACACTCCAACATAACATCCTACATAAAAGACGCAAAATCTCCCTAACTCTTCTGCTCATTTTTTTTTTCTTTTTTTTTGTTGTTGTTGAGAATAACAGCTGTACACGTGGACTTTGTTGACGTTCGACATTTTAATTTCAGAACAGGACAATGACCCATCCAGGATTCTGTATTCCTTGGCAGCAACTTTTTTTTTTGGATGATAAAATTCTATCAGCCATGTTGACTGTTTGAGGCAGCATTAAACACAAGGACAGCAAAGACTAAGCTTTAAACACTAACATTGATGCCAGTCCTCTTTTGAAAGGAAGGGCAGCTGTTGTCATTTGCTGCAACACAACATCTTATTTCAGACTGGTAACACCACTGGTACAACGCTGTCCACCAGTGTGATTGTTCTTTACAGGTTACAATCTACTCATTGTACATAATCAATGGACCACGGCAGCAACACACAACAGTCTCATCCTCCTCTTTCGTCTCACTGACCTTTCCCTCAGTCTCTTGTTTTTCGTCTTTGATCAGTGAAATCCAAGATCAAATCCCTCTATTACAAAATACAACAGCTTGGAGGCATAATGTGATGTCAACAGTGGCTGGGAAAAAAAATGTTTCATGCACCTAACTGTGCAAAAGAAAATTGCGCAATATTTTTTTCCTTTAGTAGACATATATAAACATGGAGAAAGAGCTGCTATGCTTAGGTAAGCCTCACAGCACTGCTGTATTGACTGAAAATCCCAGGTGAGTACAACGTGAGGCATGAGACCAAATTACGCTACATTTGTAAACGTTTGTTTGCAAAGGCCAGATATGCAGGTGCATACTGTAAAATTCACACCAATGGGGACATGGTACAGTGTAAAAATGCTAAGACAGCTTTTTAGTGTCAATATTTTCCTCAATTTCTTTAGTTTTGTAATAGATTGAGCAATAAATATCATAAAGTACGTGCGACCAACCAGCATCTGATCCTCTCTCCCTTCTTCAAAAAGCCTTTAGCAGAGACACTTACATTAACCCCTGCATTTTACCACACTAGATATATACTAGATATCACTTTCCATAGAAGATAGTGTAGATGAAGATGGAATCTTTGAGCACGAATGTAGGAATCAGCTCAACGGAGAACAATCAAACTAAATGCACAGCTGGAAGTGTTTATTTTGATTTGTGACTTTGTGGAACACTGAATGAGAACATTTATCGAGTCAGTGAGAAACCATGTTTGAAATAGGTTAAATAGTTCTCCATTCCCCAAATTATCGAGAGCAAATTCTGCAAAATTCTGGTGCGAGTCTCAATATTACCGGTACTGATTGACCAGATGTGTTGAGACACGATGACCACCTGTGGCTTACCCTTTGATGATACACTTTTCTGATGCTCATGCACATTTAGAAGCGGTTTCTGCTTCTACTTGTTACACACAGGAATTAGCCCAGACTCTCTTGATCTTTTTACAACGATCTGAACCGTAGATGGTTTCGTAGACTTTGAATGATGCTCCTTTTTTACCTAATCTGCAAAAGGAAAACTAAACTTGTAAGAACTGCTAAAAGAGGCAACACAATTGAAGCTTAACTAACTAACTAAACATGATTCAGTAATTTTGACTGATAAATTATCAAGTATGCACAGTATAGTTTTTGCTGCATTATTTAAGGAAGTGAAATGTTTTTTTTCCTATAAATGGGAGCAGTGCAGGAGACAGGGGAAAGTGAAATGTTTTTTTTTTTTCTCTAAATGGGAGCAGTGCAGGAGACAGGGGAAAGAGGTCGTCATGACATTTTTTTTTTTTCTGATTCAAATGTGTTGTCCTGGCAAACCATCCACTCCATCCTCAGAGCTGTTGCTCCATGACCTCTCACACACATTTAAAAGACAAATAAACTTTGAGGCTTCGTGCCTCTATTTTCCCCCGCAGCTACCAAGGCATAAACTCTCAAAAACTGTAATAAAGCAAAATATCATCAGATGCAATCAAACCTTTTTTGTACGTTAAGCAGAATTTTTTTTTTTTTTTTCAGTTTTTAAACAGACCTGTTTTTTCAGCGCTGTGGTCTACGGTCTATAGTCTGTAAGTACTACTTGTCGTTTTGGAAGAGAACTGCTCCTATACTTAACAGTATACATGGATATTTACTTTTTACTGCACGTTTAACAAGAACTTGTTTCAGGAAAATGGAGAAAAAAAAAGTAAAAAAAAAAAAAAATCAAAAAAATGTCCTGACTCTGATCATGGAAATCCACCTTGTTGCTTGCTTTTGTTGTACTTAGAGACACATTAGCCATTTGTTAGTACATTTAAGTGTCCACGTTTCATAGCTTTTCTATTTTTTAAAACCTATTTTTTATTATTTGCCTCTCATATCAGCCAATAAACCTTTGTCCATAATATCTAGACTATCGTAGGAATCACAACAATGTATGTGATTTGCTTCTTTTTTTTTTTTTTTCTTTATTCAGTGCCACTTTGTATATTGAGAGTGCTTTTGAAATAGGGGAAAACATCATAAAGAAGTACTAAAGTGAATGCAAATATGCAATTTGTGCCTTTTATACCAGTGGGTATCTCTGTTTTGCAACAGTGTTCAAATGACGATTCACGTGGGACAAGGAACGAGACTGAACAAAAAACGTTTGCATATCTCTACAAAACAAAATGCTGCGATGTCAAAAGGTGTCTCGAAAGAAGGGAGGGGGCAGAATCGGTACGATTCCAGGTTCATCAATATTCCAGTGGCTGTACAATGACTGCCTGGGATTCAGTGATCTTGGTGAACTATGCATTCCTAGTGTAGTGCAGTTCTAAATGAATTGAAGTTCACTTCAAAGTTTCTTGTTGATCGTAATAATGATGATGTAAAGGCTTCTTCTTTTTTGTACTTTGCTTTACCCTGTCTCAGTCATGTACATGTACAACATCTGAGGTCCAGTAACCGACTCTGTGCATGAAACCAGCTCTAGGACCGAATACAGATGTGAAGAGAGAGAGGTAGGCGGAGTGAGCTGGAGAAACACTCAGAGACTTTTGACTGCTCAAAGTTAAGGATGCCTAGAGACAGAAATGCTAATGTGACAGTTTTACTAGGAGAAGTCCAAGTGGAGGGGCAGGGGGAGGAAAAAACAAAACGATAAAACAAAAAGAAAAGAAGGGAAAAAAAGCTGCAATGGAGAATAACTGACAGAGCACACACCTCGCCTACGGATTTATTAAACATCCTCACCAAGAGAAGACGATAGAACCCGGTCCAACAAAACACTGAGTTTGAAGTGCTGTGAAATTTTGCATGAACCTCAGACAAAAAAAGAGGTTTTGAAGGAAACTGTGCCAAAAACTTGGCATTTACACGTACTTGAACTGCCATGAACTCCAGGGACTTGTTGTAAATTTTGACTGAACCCCGTCTGTTCTCGACCCCATCTGCCCCCTACCCTGCCTCTGCGGAAGGTGTGTGTTCAGTCCGTGCTCTCTTCTACTCGTATAGCTTTCACGGTGTGTGATGAGATTTGTACTATTAACCATTAATATTTGTCCTGCGACTTGGATGTTGATATAGAAATTTGAGGAAACAAAAATTCTGTCATTGTTTAAATATGAGTCACTATGCACGCAGCTTAGCTGAACATGGCAAAGTGTTTTGAAAGCAAGTCCACTTCTATTTATGAGATATTTTACATAATTTAATTTTTGCCTTTGTACAGGTTTGTGTAAATAAATTGCTTGTCATTTTTGTCTCTGCAGAAATTAAACTATAACATGTTAAAACCATGATGTCTGTTAGGTGTGTCTGTTCAGACTCACTCCTTCTGTTAATCTCATGTAGAGAAAAAAATGACAATATATTGTGTACATTGACTTTCATATAACCAGTTTGTGGTGCAAAAACAAAGTAAACAACCACTGAAGTGGTAGAGCCTTAGAGGACCAAAAAAGGAACTATTAAGAGCCTTTAATCTGTTCAGGTCCACATTGAGCATAAAAAAAAAAAATGAAATACGTGATTAAAGCTGAAAATGTATGAGAATTAAGTCATACATTTATGAGAATACAGAGATACATTTTATTCTTTTTTTTTATTCTCAATGTGGCCTTAATACTCTGTCGTATTTATGCCATGTTTACAAATAACATGATTCAACTCCGGTATTACTTAATGTGCAGCAAATACATTTTTGTGCTTTGGGATTATATGGGCTTTTCTGTGCAATATAGCAATCAAACATGCTGTCCACCAGATAGCGCTTCGGTCTGTCTTATCAGCCATTCGTAAAAAAAAAAAAAAAAAACGTAAAATATGTGTGGAGAGATTACAAGCGGTGGGAAATAAACATTTCGACGCTTTAGCATTTGTGAATGTGATGCACATTAAAAGTTTGAGGTTTTTGTTCACACACACGGCACAAAACCTGTAGTAGAAAACAGCAGAGTCCAGAGTGAAAACAGCATTAGATAGATGGCAAATCACACCATGATATACTCTCAAGTCAGTGGACACCAAATTATGGGCCGAGGGGCTGAAAAGGGCCGACCAATCAAAACCTTACAACTCCAGTATACGGATACTTGCTCTGATGCTTTACCTGTAACGACCCACAAATGTCTCTTGTACTACACCGAAAAGATGATCTACTCTGACACTGGATCATCTTTACACTTTGCATTATACGACCGTTAAGTGATACCTTTACTGACCTTTGCAAAGTATTTCAATGAGTTCTTAAAAAGCCAGTGACTGTATCATAAATACAAGTATAAAGACAACCCTAAAAAATTTGAACTGTATGGACCAAACTAAAATATTTTAGATGAATATACAGTTTACACAGGGTTATAGTTGATCATATGTGCTTTATATTTTTATTTACCAGTTTAAAAATAATAAAAATAAATGCTTCTGTTTATTTATTTATTTGTTGTGGAACCATTAAAAACAAAAATTTAAATAACCACATTTTGATACTGATTGGAACATAATTATGTATTGTTTTTATCTTCGGGTTTAAGCTGCCAGAATAATTAGTGCATCTCGAATAACAAAATAAAATTAACTCGGTAGGTGAGCGCACAGTAGGATTGTTTGAACACATTTATCCTGCATTCTTCCTTCCTCTAATAACAGTGTTGTACACGCAGTCACGTGTGTTAGAGTGTGTGTACGCTTGCATTAATGTATAAAGTGATTAAAAACAATCTCTGCTGTTCCCTGTGCTCTAATGAGCAACAATCTGCGGCACCCTCAAACGGCTAATAGCATTGTAATAGGAATCTGGCATGCACTGTAAAATTACATATGCAGTGTTCAATAATTTGGAGAGAGTTCTCTGCTCACAGGGAAATTAAAGTGACAGTGTTGCGTCGCACCCAACTCTTCACTCTTCACTCCACTCTGCAAAGCATTGTTCTCAGGCTGAGAAGCTTTTATTTGTGTACAATTTCAATTTAGAGAAATTCAAGTGTGACAATTGTACCCCCCTCGTTCCTGCTTGTTAATGGCCTGGTATTTGTATTTGTAAGAAATAGCAGGTTGAAATCATGTCGATATGCAAATGATCTTGCTCATTTCCTCCCCCCGTCTTCTGTGAAGCATTTTAAATAGTCTGCCACGGGATACTTTTTTTTTTCAGTTGAGGAAGGTGGAAATAAAAGCAAATTACAGTGGGTTTAAAAAGAATTCAATATTGAGACAGTGCATCCAAATGACTTATGAGGATTGGGTTGATGAACAAAACAGTGACTGAATTCAATGAATACCATAACAACACAAGCAATTTGAGGGTTAAATTAAATAGCCATGCAAAACATTTTAAAAATGTCTGAGGATAATGGGTCCTTACATCAGTACTATACTACAAGTACTTCAAGAATCAAACCCCTGTTGTCTTGGCTAAAGAATCAGCAGATCCTATAACTTAATCCAAAGTTTGACATGTTGGTGGAGTTGACAATTGTTTTATCTGCAGAAGAGGTTTTGGAGCCAATGGTCTAATCAGATCCACATCACACATTTTCTGTTCAATAAGGAGAGTACTTCTGTAGTTCAGTGGAACTGTAAAGGCATTCACAAATGTTGACATGTTGGTGGAGTTGACAATTGTTTTATCTGCAGAAGAGGTTTTGGAGCCAATGGTCTAATCAGATCCACATCACACATTTTCAACTTCATGCAACAGTTTGGAATCTTTTTCCAGCTCTTCATCTTGCCCTTCACTAACAGTATATCATATCTCATCGGTTTTCACACATTATATTACATACAAGTGCTACTGTGGGAACACCTTTTCTTTGCAGCCGTCTCTATGATCCCTACTTGACAGAGCCTTGTTAGCTGTAAACAGGCCTGGCTGTGACCTATCGCCTGTGGGCGTCTTATTTTTCTTTAGAACGAGAGCTTGAAAGAGAGTTGAGGCTTCGATAATAATCAGTCATTCACCTGAATCAATCTCAACTGCAGCCGGGTGTCCGAGGAGGAGATAACAAGGGATGGGGAGGGAGATAAAAGTGCAGAGAGAAAATGTGAAGTACAGGAGAATTACAATAAAGAGAGGAACAACCAAACTACTGTTCCATATGTAAAGCTAATTAATGAAATCATTGATCACTTTTCTGGTGTCTAAAGCCTGATATACTGTTTTATTACAAATCCCATTCCGTTTGTGCTCACCAGTGCAGAATAATGACTTAAAATCACACTGGTGAGGAGAATTCAACCATGAAGCATTTGATATCCACAATTTATGAGCCTTTTATTGCCTTAAATTTTATTTTATAATTTTCTCCCTCGCAAAACCAGTGAAAAGGCACTCAAAGCTTTTTTCTAAAGTGATTTGTGTTTCATATTTATCTTAACCACGGCACCACAGGGATGAAAAAACAATTTTTTACAAGTTGTGGATGAAAGAGCTTAGGAAAAAAGTAGAGGAGGAAACTGCTGCAATAACTTTAACCTAATTGTGAGCAGACAAATTCCATCAGTGTTTATTTTTGCACCAATTCAATTCTAGCCCCTGACGGCAAATGACATTAGAGTTAATTTTGTTTGTTGGTGGACAGAGGTGGACACATGTCCAAATGTAGTCACTGAGCCCCTGAGATCCACTTTTATGATTCGATTTAGTTTAGTACAATGCACTGCTGCATAGCAAACACTGGACTTCTTTATTAACTGTTTTTTTTTTCTGTTCAATAATTTACACAACACACAAAGATTTGCTGTGGTGACACCTGAAGAGATCAGCTGAAAGAAGAAGAATTGCACGAGGCCACCATTCAAGTATTTTAAAAAAAACTTCCAATGGAGAAAATCTGATGAATGATGACTTACAACCAAAATGTTGTACTAACAAAAGCGGCCCTGAGTCCTCGGAGTGGGCCTAAACTGTGGTCATTTGAGAAACATTTAAATTCAACCAGATCATTTCTACAGATAAAGTCCACAACAGTGTTATTAGCAAATAATCACTTAAACCAAGCCTGGGCTGACAAAACCTTGTTTATTCTGACACTCCATATTATATTCGAAGATGAACACAACTTTCATTGTTTTTCAATACATTGCAATATTTTGGTCCATGATCTTCTGTTACCTCCTGTCTGCAACTCCAGCTAAATTTCTTGGGTTAAAAAATGTATAATTGAAGCTACAGTGGTTTCTATGGTAGGAGGCGAGGAATGGGTTGGAGCAGGTTAAATTTATTTATTTCATTACATTTCCCATAATGCCCTGTACCTCACACATGATGCAGACAGGGACTCTGCTCGCTTTAAAGACCAAAAAGCCACCACACCACTGCACTGAAGGCCAATGTTCTCCCCTCTGTTCATCACACATCAGTTGTGAGTTAAATACGTACAAACTTATCCGTGCTGGATTTATGTGAAATCTATAGAACTCTCAGCAGTTGGACGTGAGCTGTGATTAACAGACAGCAACAGGAGAGAGTGAGGGAGGTGAAAAGAGGAGAGGCAACAGGAGGAGATGGTGAAGGGAATAGAGGTGAGGATGTGATTGACTATCTGACATCGCCCTGCCCCCAAAGTGATGCTTTCCATCTACACTCCATCTAGGCTGAAAAATCAGTCTCCATCATTGAATTTATTGGTGGTGGCCAAATGTTCCATTACTGAATTAGTTTACGCTGAGAACCTTTAGCCAAACATGTATCAAATGGTTCCATGTTCCCAAAAATAAATGAATATTGTAGGTATATGAGAAAAGACTTGTTAATGTAAGATGTTTTTTCATGATTTTTGAAATTACAATTATGACTGAAACAGACTTTGAATATTCTAACTTTTAAGGATTATAGACATTACAATTGGTGAGACAATCAAAAAATTGTCCAAATGCTGCACTGTCCTACTGTCCCACATTTGACGACAAGGGATCTGGTCATCTAGTTTGGGCACCTTTTCGAACAATTTGATTCACGACAAAATGTTTAACCAAAAATTGCTCTGGTTGTCGTACCGTAATTCGATTGCCGAAAAAAACCAACAATATCACGTGGGTAGCAAGTGTTCACTGAGTGACTGAATGTGAGGCGTCAGTCCGTGCTTGGGATATACACGCTAAGCACTTGCAATTTCTTTTTTCTTTTTTTTTTTTATTCCATAAATCCTAATGGGACCTAAAAAGACTAGTGAAAGGTGAAAACTGGGCAGATCTTTTCAGCAGTATACATGATATTCACCAACATATTCACCACAATGTAGTTACACTGGTTATACATCCAACCAGTTCTGAACAACAAACAAACATTAACCATTTTTGTAGGTCACCATTCGATAAAAACTAGATAAAACAAAGCACACACACAAAACCATGAACGAGGTAAAAAGTGTCCACTGGGCTTTCTTACTCATTAAAAAGACATTTCTGTAATAACCTTGAAATTTAAACATTTTAAGTCTAAAACAACATTTTGTTTATAGAATATACCGTACACATCATTGAAGGAACATCTAATGGCCTGTTTGCAGACTGGGCACTCTGTGGTAAAGGCATTCTGAAAGCTTTCATTTGTGATTTTTTGTCTTTTCAGCATTAGGAATATAATGTGGAATCTGCAGCTTGTGTGTAATTACCGAAAGGTGGATTACAGATACAAATCTTTTCCTTGGCCAGGACACAGTCTGAGACAGCAGTCTCTTATTTCTTCGGGGAGCAGTTTAATAGAATAAAAAAAAAGCTCAGAGTAATTTATGCTCCAATTAACCTTCAACATAATAAATGCCACAGTAGGTATCAAACATTTAAGGTACCCTGTGGAGTCTCCCTTTAAACAAAAGCATCTCATTTAGACTCTCTCATCAGATTGATATCTTATCATTGCTGCAAAAATATTTTGTAACTCACGAAACTGAACAGACACTTCTGTGTGGTTACACTGGTGTCCAGTATATACCAATGGCTTGACAGGAACTGAACACGTGAGTTTGTAGGAATAGTCAAGAAGGGGAAAAAATGTTTTGGATTGAGGTAAGAAGATGCAGGATATTGGTATCTATTAGAATTCGCCCGACCTTCTCCAATATTTAAACAGTTAGAAAAGAGAAAACAGAGATGTAGAGAATATAAAAAGTCACTTCTGCTGTGTGAAAACACCATACAGGTATGGTTCAAGCTGTTAGCTTGGCTGCTGTCTGTTTGCTTTCCTGTAAATTAACCGTTAATTAGGGCCGTTAAGCTCCCCACAACATGCTGTCACATGATTGTCACCCTTGTTTACAGACCAGTTTGCACATTATTGCTACAAGACTTTACACAAGATTCCTCAGACTACAAACCTCCTCTATGGTTGGAAGGATCCCAAGCACTGTACATAACGCTCAACTCAAAGTTATACTTTAGCATGTATAGATGTGAGAGCTGTCATACTGTGAACAAACAATATAGAAGTACTTTAAAATAGAGTAGTAAAATTAAAGAAATATAATTTGGTGACCCAGATGTTCTGTCCCATTTGGTCCCCTGTTCCCAACTTGGAACTTGGGAACCTGACATCTTGGCTGTTAACGCAGTATTGTCCTGAACATCATACTGCAGCTTCTTTTTCCCTGCTGACTGAAATGTTCAACAAACTTCTTTTGTCCTCATCTACTGTACAGTAGACTGTAAAGTTTCTCATGCAAACATGAACAGAAGAGAAGACAAAAGGGCCTGGTGTCAGAGATAATTATGATAATCAGATGGCAGACGTACATCACACTACGTCTCTGACGTGAATCATAGGGTGTTATGGTGCAAAACCAGACTGACGGGGGCGTTGGCGCACAGGGTCACGTCTGTCCAACATCCACATCCGAGGATTTATGTTCCATAATTGCACCTTAGAATTCCATACCCTAGCACAGGAATATAATACAAGCGCTGTAGACTTTATCTGCGAACACTACAATTGGCCTTTTTTTATATCCTCAAATTTCTTTTTTATATAGACCAAAGCCAAAGGGTAAGGATCATAAAAAAGTGAGAGGAGAAAAGCGTTGAAGGAGAGGTTAATGTTGCTCCTCACCATGAGGATAACATTCACAGGGCAGCGGCCGTAAAAGTGCAATGAAGTCCCACTTCTTGAAGAACAGACTTAGTGAGCCCATCATTCCCCATGTGGATTGATGTAAAACACTCAGGGGTATAAAAAGAAATATATAGTATATCTCCTACACAACCACACACTACTGATTGCACTCTCCTCCTCAAGAGCCCTTCAGTTCGAACACTTCCTTGACTTGTTTCTTGTTGGCCTAGTTCCTGCACTTTTGCTCACCCTCCTTTGATCCATTTCATGGATACAGTGGATGGGGGGGGGGGGGGGGGGAGAGGGGGGTTTGCACCCCCCCCTCTAGGGGGGGGGGGGGGTGTGA